TAAATCATCCACAAAATGTCACTTGCGCTTTTTATTAAACTTAACATGTTAAAATGATTCATAATATTTCCTAATCATTTCAGTGTTCAGCTCAGAAAAAGAATGAATGAAAAGCACTTTTAAACAACACTTAAAATACAGTAACTTGCCAGACGTAGAAGCTGTTCAGACTAGTAAGCTAAATCACACGACTCTTATCTGTAGCATTAAAATACCAGAACCAACCCCTGGCATGGTTTTGGCTTAAGCCAACAAGGACTCATGTGAACAATTATGATTACATAGGCCACGTAGTCCTTCTCAACAGGAACTTTGTGTGCAATCAGCATTCCTTGGAGATCAAGAGTTTCGTATCATCTTCCAGACCATCACACTTGAATTTGTTCAGACAACAGGTCCTGATACTGATTAGTTTGGTTATATGGATATTCTCAGAAGGTTTTATTCATATCACCAAACCCACAATTATCAACATGCCTAAGTCACTCTTGATGCAATTCAGGGTAGGAAACGCAAAAGGGAAAAGATACTATCTCAGTAAGCTTTTTCTCTTTCTGTTGAGCAGAGGGGGAGACTACAAGTCTCTTAAGAACACAAAGTCAGGACAAGGTAAGAAGGTAATCTCAAGGGCACTGATGTGCAAAATTAGAAACAATGAAGTCATTACTACAATGAGAACTAGTGTGGAAAAATGTACTAAAAAAGAAACCCTGATAGATACTACAGGTAAGTAGCAATCATCCTGACTCTCACTGGACTTTTCTGGGGTTTTAAATGGCCATTTCCTGAGCAACTAAAACCAGCCCACGTTTCAAACTAGTAGAGAAAGAGCTGTCCTAAGTATTTCCACTAAACAAAAGTATTAACAGACAAACACGTACTCTTTGCTTCTGTGCTTCCACTAGTTTAATGAAACAGATAAACATCCTCTGGTAACCTGTTTACATGATCTGACTTCATCCAGTCTGACAAACAATACTAGTGCAGCCTGTCTTGTAAGCACTATGCTGAGAGAAGAGTATATCCCAGTGAAAAATAACACCTATATTTAGATTCAAAACTGAATTCTTCATTAGGCATCAATACACTAACTCAACTTGCAGGCAGTACAGACTAACAAACCCAAATTCCAAACAGGTTTTTACAGTTCTCTGAGACCTCATTCCTCAGCTTTACTGCTCTAGAACCAAAGCTAGCTTAGTCGTTCTTGTGTGAGCTTGTGGTGAAGGCATACCCTTATATAGCTTCCCAAACCATAGCAGTCAAAACCAGCACAGTAAGTTCTTCCAAAACAAACATTTTTTATAATCTCCAATAATTAACTTTTTTGTTTCAGCATCCTTTTGTAGGACAAATGAAAATACAGTTTTAAAACATCAACCTCGATAAACAGACCTAGACATTATTGTTGGTTTACCAACAAATTCCTAGGACTACCATGTTCTGGAAAGTTCATCTGGCCTCAGGCATGAATTAACTCTGGTTCTCAGAACTTGGTAACTCTGCATAAGCTACTGAAGGATACAGAAGCTAAACTGTCACCACCCAACTGAAGACAAGACAGCAACACTTCAGTTTTCAGCTTGAAAGAACTTCCGAAAATAACATCTGCTTTCAGTTTCCTCATGTTTGTGCAGCTGAGATGCTATCATCTTATCTGAGAACAGTGAGCTGGAATAGAACTTGTTAGTCAGTTCTCCTGGAAGTGAAAAGCCAGAGTTGCTGACTTAATTGAGTTACTCCGGATATGGCTGATAGATTAATAGAATACCCTGAGTTGGAGGAACTCAGAAGGATCATCAAAGTTCAACTCCTGGCCCAGCACAGGACAAGGCCAGGATTCACACCCTGGTCCTGAGAGCACTGTCCAAATGCTTCTTGAACTCTGGCAGGCTTGATGTTGTGACCACTTCCCTGGGGAGCTGTCCCAGTGCCCAAGCACCTTCTGAGTGAAGAATCTTTTCCTAATATGCAACCTAAGGTCACCAGAGAAAAGAGATCAGCCTCTGTCCCTCTACTTCCCCCTTGTGAGGAGCTGTAGACTGCTGTAAGGTCTCCCCTCAGTCTCCTCCAAGCTGAACAGACCAGGTGACTTCCGCTACTCTTCGTATGACTTCCCCTCTAGGCCCTTCACTATCTTTGTCACCCTCCTTTAGATGCTCTCTAATAGCTTTATATCTTTCTTGTATTGTGGTGCCCAAGACTGCACAGAGTATTCAAGCTGAGGCTGCACAAGTACAGAGTAGAGGAGGACAATCATCTCCCTCAACTGGCTGGTGATGCTGTGCCTGATGCATTCCAGCGCATGGTTAGCTCTCCTGGCTGCCAGGGCACACTGTTGGCTCATATTCAACTTGCCACCAACCAGGACCTCCAGGCCCTTTCCTGCAGTGCTGCTCTCCGGTGTCTCATTCCCCAGTTTGTACACAGATCCAGGCGTGCCCTGTCCCAAGTGTGGAATCTGGCACTTGTCTTGTTAAACTTCATATGGTTGGTGACTGCCCACCCCTGACTTGTCTAAACATCTCTGCATGGCGTCTCTGCCTTCCAGGGAGTCAACAGCTCCTCCCAATTTAGTGTTGCTGGCAAATTTACTTCATACCCCTTTGAGTCCTGCATCCAAGTTGTTTATGAAAACATTGAAGAGAATTGGCTCTGTAGAGCTTCAAAGGTGACCAGTCACCAGCCTGATGTAACCCCATTCGCTATAACCCCTTCAGCCCAACCCACGAGCCAGTTGCTCGCCCATTGCATGACATGTTTATCCAGCTACGTGCTGGACATTTTGGCCAGAAGGATGCTGTGAGAGATATTCCAAAAACATTACATTAACTGGCTTCCATTGATCAACTAGGTGGGTAAATTGTCATGAAAGGAAATTAGGTTTGACAAACAGGACTTACCCCTCACAAAGCCATGCTGGCTGTGACTGATGACTATATTGTCTTTCATGTGTTTTTTAATAATTCCCAGAACAATCTTCATAATTTTACCAGTCACTGAAATTACATTGACAGGTCTGCAGTAACCAGGATCATCCCTTCTCGCCCTTCTTGAAAACTGGGACAATGTTTTCCAGCTTCCAGTTGACTAGGACCTCTTTATATTCCCAAGACCATTCAGAAAGTCATTCAGAGAGGTCTTGCAACAACATCAACCAGCTCTCTGAGTACCCTTGGATGAATCCCATCAGGGCCCATAGACTTACAGAGATCCAGCTGGAATGGCAAATCCCGCATGAGTTCAGGGTTGGCTGGGAGTTTAACATTCTTGCAGTCACAGTCCCCCACCTCAGGGTTCTGGGGCTCATTATCAGTGTTGAAGACAGAGGCAAAGAAAGCATTAAACATCTCCGTCTTGTCTGTGTCCCTGTTTCTGAGGTGATCCCCCTCATCCTGTAATGGGCCAGTGGTATTTCCTATCTGCCTTTTGCTATCAATGTATTTTAAAATACTATTATTGTTGTCCCCCACAGTACTGTCCACCTTCAACTCCAACTGAGTTTGGCTGCACAAATTTTCTTCCTAGAGCGGTGGTGAGGAGCTTCCCTGCAGTCCTTCCATGTCACCTGACCTTGGTTTCACTGGCCACACACTCTTTTTTCACCTTAGCTCCAGAAGATCCCGTGCTCAGCAAGGCTGGCCTTCTGCCTTGCCTGTCTGACCTCTAGCATGCTGGAACTGCCTGTTCCTGTGCCTTTAGGTGGTACTTAAGAAGTGACCCTAGCACCTTCAAAAGCCTTTTCCTTGAGGACCTTACTAACCTGTTCCCTGCACAGCCTTAAGTCTTCTCTCCTCATATCCAGGGTTGAAGTTTTGCTGGCACTTTTACTCCTGTCACTGGAGATTTTAAACTCGATTGCTTCATGGTTGCTATGGCCAAGACAGCACCAACTGCCACTTCACTCACAAGCCCCTCTCTGTCAACAAGCAACAGATTGAGGAAGGCACCATTCCCAGTTGGATCACTTAGTACCTGTACCAAGAAGTTACTGCCCAGGTGTTTTAGGAATCTTCTGGACCTGTTTGTACCAGCTGTATGCTTACAAAGCAAACAACTCTAATTCAGTTTTCAACTGCAAGAGGACTACATTAACACAAAAGGGCTAAAAGAATGATATACTTTCAAATTCCTGAAGACACTGACATAGTATCTTGTATTTTTAGTTTGTCTGTTCTTCAATTCTTCTCCAGTTTAACCATTCTCTTTCCATTTTCTTCTCATATCAAGAAAAGGCTATCTTATTTTTATGTCCATTTGACTGACTCACAAAGCCACAATTTCATAAATTTTAAGTAACAATGCACTGTTTCTTAAGTCACATACAGGTATATAAAAAGTCTATCAAGGAGTTACACACGGAATTGCTTTATTTTAATTTCTGTTTTAAATTTGATGGACATTTTAAGAGCATTAAAATGTAAACATATCTTAACTACACTAACCACAAAGTTTTACCCTTATTCTGTGAATTCTGGAGCAATTTGTTTTCTATCCAATATGGAATGGCAGTTTTCACATACTATTTAAATGTATTACTAAATTTCAAAAGGAATTTAAGGAGGGATTCAAACATTCCTGCCAGAAATAAATGCTAACTAAAGCTACAAAAACTAAGTAGAAGGAAACAGCTTAAAATAACTGAAATACTAGATTGGTCACTATGTTTTGGATCATAAGTCATATTACAAGGAACCAAGTTACTTGAGTAGATATTGGAGGAAGACAACCTGCAATTGTTCTATTACAGACTGCTCAATATAACTCGTTATCTGAAAAAGTGGACAATTTCTACAACACCACTACACTGCTACCTACGAAAAAGCATGCATCTAAGAAGAAATAAAAGGCATTTCCACTTGGAACCCCGATTTAGATTTTCTACGAAACTGAAGTCCAGAACATAGACATCATACTCTATCTTTCAAATCCATGGGTTATGACATGTTAGTTGGTAAATCAAAAATAACCAAAACCTTCATATGTAGGTAAATGCTTACCACTTTTTCAACTTCTACTTCATCTTCACTTGGGAAGTCAGAAGTAGCATCCTGCATCTCATCAGCAGAATCATCAGTTTTTTCATCCTCTTCATCCTCATCATCTTCCTCTTCATCCTCTTCCATCTCATCAGCAGTTCTCTCAACAGTGGGCGTGCAACCCTTTTTGTGTGCCCTCTCTTCTGGTGGTGTTGCAAAGTCACTTTTCTCTGATCTATCAGCTTTGTTATTCACTTCACTTCTAGTTTCTAAAGGAGGTACAATGCTAGATATTTTGCTCCAAGAACTGTTGACATGTGTTAAAATATCATGACCTGTTTTAATTTCTTCCAGAGCATCAAAAGCACCTTGTTCTTTGCTGTTACTGCCTTCTTGCCTAGATATGCTCCCTTTGCCTTCCTCAGTATTGACTGTATGCTCTTCTCCTGAAGCATTATCCAGCTCTTTTGCAGAACTGATTTCAGACTTACTTTCTGTTTTCTCTCTTATGGTTTCTGCCTCTGTAGAGCCCTTGTACTCCTTCCTTTCCAGATCTGGCTGTACAGTATCACCCCAGCAATCTTCTTTGTTCTGAGACAGTTCAGTCCCTCTCTGTTCCTCCTTGTTCTCCAGCCGTGTATCTTGCTCTTGTCGACTCTGTGACTGCCCAGAGCTTGCCTTGTTGTCCTCCTTCATCTGTGTCTGTGGATCTCCTTCCTGCTCTTTTACTGGTTTCTCTTCCTGTTCCTTCCCATTGTTCTTCAACTGTGCAGTCTCCCAATTCTCAAGACTCTGTGGATGTGCATTAACCAGAGGAGCAAACGAAGACTGATCTGATGACGCACAAACAGTTTCAGAGTTAGCTGAAACAGCCTCCACTGCAGTTTCAGAACAGACAGGACGCTCTTTCTCCTCAGAAGTCTCTTCTTCTTCCTCATCGTTTGGCCTCTCACTGATGTACGAATGGTCAGATGATATGACATCTGCAGAAACATCACGCTGAGAAGAAGAGCTATCATCACAAGAACTCTCTAGCACCTTGGAGTTCTTCTCCACCACCTCTAATGTAGTGGAATTTCTATCCCCCCTAGGTGTGATTGCGCCAGACGCCGACTCTTCAACATTATTTGAGCGGTTAATCGACAACTCATTTTTTTCTTGTTTTCTATCTGACACTGTGACCTCAGACTTTGTAACTTCAGTGTCACCTGAGCAGGAAGCCTTCCCATTCTCCTGATGAGCAGGACCTGAGTCCTCTTTCTTGCATATTTTCCTGTAATCCTTCTTCATCTGAAGAGATGCAAAATGGTGGAGAATGGAGTTTGGCACAGTCTTCTGTCCTGGGAGCTGAAGTAAAGCAAAACTCCCAGACTGCAAAGGTATGAAATTAGCGGTGGTAGCTGGCAGACTTCCTGAGCTGCAGGTTATTTTAGACTCAGAGGATGTTTGATTTGTCATGCTGCCAGCAGCAGAGGGATTGATCCTCAGAGTCAGAGTGCCTGCCTGTGACACAAAACTTGTTACTGAAGGAAGAAGAGAGGATGCTTGAGTGGCTGGGTTAGATGGAGGGGATAACTTGGGTACTGCAGTTTGTACAGTTGCATTTGTGGCAGGAGAAGTGGCAGACACAGAGGAAGCGGGAGACACAGGCAGCTCGGGAGGCTTAGACGGTGTAGGCATCCGGACTCCTACAACAGATCCTGTGAGGAAAACAAAACATCCACTAGTAATTCCTCAAAGCAACCTTTTTCTTTTAGTTTTAGTATTTGATGCTGTACTAGAAGCAGATGGCATTCCCAAGGATCACGATGTAATCAGATATTTAACCACAAGTTCTCACTCAAAGAGCTGGTAACGCATAAAGATACATAAACTTGAATTTTTGTAAGGAACACCCCAAAAATCCACATGAGGTGGCCACTCTAAAACTAACAGACTTAATGGTAAGTTCTAGCATTAAGCTTTTTAATAACAAAGTGCACTGCATTCAAAGTCCTCTGCATTTTACTTTCCCATCTATAGGAAAACAGGGAAATGGGGATTTTGTACAAAAAGAAAAAAAAATTGTATTTGATTTTAAAATGTTTTTTCCTCCTCACAAAAAGACTTCCACATAGAAAAACTATGACAAGATTACACAATTATACCACAACCTCTTCCACCTTAATGAACTCTTCTGCAGCATTTCACAACTCTGTGAAACACAGAGGGAAAAGTACTATCACTGGCAACTGGTTTCTCTTGCACAGCAAAAGCCACAAAACAGAAATTAAAGTAACTTTTTGACTGATTCTTTACTACACCTCATGCTCAATGCTCAACTAAAGCACAGGATTATTTTCTCTCCCCCACACAGTTTTATCTCGTTTTTACTTGTTATCTTGCTCTTGCCTCTCCCTTTCACACCACTCTACCTTCTTCTCTTCAAGATGTTTTTTGATAAAGAGAGAACAGAAGAAAAAGTCCTACTGTACAGCAAATATGCATTTAAACTACTTCGTTTAGCACTTACAAATATGTATAACAGCATGCCCAACAGGCATCCCACCTATTTTCTGTCAGACACCTGCAATTTCTAACTCTTCCAACCCTGTCTTCCAACTGTGCACCAGAGAAACAGCTGAAAACAACACTTCTTTTTCTTCTCACACTCTTAAGGAGGAAAAAAAGCTGGCAATTTTATACTGTAGGGTAACATTTCATCTGAGTATCTCCTGTAAAAACACTAACAAACCTGGAAACCTAACAAAACCAGAGCAGCACATACAATGAAACGCAGGTAATAGCTCATTCTTCTTGAGAGAATCTCCAGCAAAAATTATTTTTGACTCACCAGATCAACAGTTTCTCTTAACTTAATGACAGTACAATAGACATGGCTCCATTGCCATACACACACAGAGGCCTTTTTACTTGCTGCACAGAACTCCCAAATTTTGGTGACTTACCTATTAACTGCACATCCTGTATTTTAGACACATGGTATTTAAGTTGCATTGCATCTGACTAATTACACTACATTCTACAACTACTCACAGAACCAAATTAGACTCTATTCAATTACTTCCAGCAGGGGAAAGCAGCATCACAGAGACACTTATTACACTGTTAATTTCTGAGTAAGGCATTAGTCAGTTGTAAGGGACCTTTAAGCAATGTTTGTTTCAACATTGCTTGGCTTTGATGGCTTGGTGTAGGGGACTAAAACCAGTAAAACCAGCAACCCCTGGGACTGTTTGCCTCAAAGCTTGCTGAGTCACAGAATGTCCCCAGCTGCCAAGACCAAAAAGCACCATTGTCCACCAACGACACCCTCTGGCTGCCTAGCCATTGGCCAGATAGTGACTGACATCCCCTCCAGCTGCCAAGATCAGGAGGCTGGGAATTGCTCCACTCCAAGGAAACTGACCAGTCAGTACCCTACAAAAAGGGCCAGCGTCCAGAGCGTTTCAGGTAAGTACCACTGGAGACAGAGATCATCAGAACACTGCCAGACCTATGGAGGCAAATATCCCCCTTACGACACGAGTAGGAATCATCGGAACGCCGCTGGACCTATGGCGGTGACTATCCCTGTTCTACATGACTTCAGGTCATCTGGATCCACAGTGGTGACTATCTGCTTTGGCATACCAAATCTTGCTTACTTCTAACTATCCCCCTTTCCTGTTTCTAACTTTCCTAACTTCCCTTCTCTCCCCCTTGTGTGACCAGTACTAAAGTCTCACTCCATAACAGTATTTTGACCTCATTTGTGTCTTAATTCACATTAGGGAAATTGATCAAACACTCCCAAGTCTAACTGGACTGGGACATCAGTCAAGAAAGAAACCCTGGACTTTGTACCTGGATTGCGGAGCATCACTGGCTGCACGCTGGGCTGGGCACCTGCTGTTTGAACCCGCTGCAGCGGAACAAGCTGTATGATCTGCCCATTAGGATGTCTGAACAGGTTCACAGCACCAGGGCTCCTGAGAGGCTGGAGAATCACCCTCTGCCTCTGTGCAAGCTGGGTGTTGTTTACTGGTCGTAAAGCAGGTGTCTGATGCACTGGAATCAGCAACAATTGAGGCCCAACACGTTTGTCCGTTCCAGGAACTATCTTCTGGGGACTCTGACTTACAGCCAGGGGAGTAGCATCTTCTGAAACATTAAAAAACTTATATCAAAATCAGTTTAGGAGAACAGCCCACAAATCAGGCTTATTTTTAACAAATACAGGCACAAATATTTGGAAACAACTGGATTTCTCTTAAATTTGTTTGGAAGCAATTTTTCCTTTTTTGATTCACAGAATGCATAGAACCAACCAGGCCAAGACAGTTTTTTTAACCCATGTAGTTCCATCGGCATTTCCCAGCCACGACACAGAGGCATAATTCCATACCCACTCCTTGGACTCTCTGCCAGCTGTGAAATTCTAGCAGTCGTAACCGTGCTATACATTTCTATGGGCCAAGAAATGATGTGAGGCTTCCCACTGATTTCACAGCAGTCACAGACCAGATAGCTACATTTTTTCCCTTCACTTCTAGCTCAGGATGGAACACAAACTTTGGACAGAAGGGCAAGGCAAGTGAATCCATATTTCAAATGGATACTACAGTTGCTGACCGTATTCCTCCTACAAGAGAGGCAGAATTAAAAAACCTGTATGTTTGCAATAATAACCCAAAGCACCTAAGCATTACCTCTTTTTTGATTCTGTGGAGGACTTGAATTCACTCCTGACAGTATCACTGGAACAGAGGAAGTCAGTGTGGTCACCACAGGTGTAGCCGCTGCAGTGGTTGTAAGTACAACTGTAGAAGTGGACCTTGTGACAATAGGACAAGTAACAGCTGGTGGTGTTACTACAGTTTTAGGGAATGATGTAGTTACTCCTGCTGCAACAACCCCTGTTGGTTTTGTTATGTTCACAGTAGTAGGAGTGGTGGATGAGGGAGTAGTACAGGTGTTCACTCCAGGTGCTGCAGCAGCAGCTGTGACTGTAATTGCAGGAGAGCAGGCAGGTTCACTGGCTTCTGTCTGGCTAGGAGTGGTCACAGTAGATGCTGCTCCACTGGTACTTTCCACAGTAACTGGAGAACTGGTGGTGGCTGCAGTGACCCCAGGAACGACTGTGCATTGAACTGGAGATAGTATTGAAGAAGCCTCAGGAACAACAACTGTAATTGGTGTAGGCTTGACACTGAACTGTTGCCCTGACACAGGCTGGCGTGTGCTCACTCCAGGAATCTTCTGCTGTAGAGTTCCGGCTCTGTTTATCACAAACTGGGCAAACATCCCACCAGGTGAGGGTTGAACAGCTGTAAATAAAAACTTGCAGGTCAAAATTTCCCCTTTGCCTTTCATGAGGTGCTACAATTATGATTTCAGCATGAATTTGAGCCTCCATTTTCTTTGTACCTTGTATTTAAATTTAAACCTTTATAGCAGTCCTGAATATGCCTTACACATTTGAAATATGTCTGACTTCTTCCACTTTTGTAGATTTATTGCATTTCTTCCTGGACACACAAAAGAAACAGGTCTTGAAGGGCTGTTCTTCACCACAAAACTACAGACAATTCTAACTATAGTAGAGGAAAACAAACACCTAAGTGAAATAAGGAGCTCAAACTATTTTCTAAACCTCAAATTCTTCCTGTAATAGCTTGCTGAGATCTTCCTCTTTTTACTGCTTATTTTCTTCCCCCTTCTACTGTATTCATCTTAGACAGCCAGGATGGAAAGGGATGTGAAGGAGGTAAGAGTTTGCCATGTTCCCTTCTAATTGCAGTGACTTTCATGTAACTGAGGACTGGATGGAACAAATTTAACCAATAGAAAGTCATCACCGTTGGGAAGATCCTTCACCTCATCCCTTGCTCTCCAAGGGATCAGAATACTGCATCTACAACACTACAGATGCCTACAGATGAGTACAACAGCACTAACTATTGTAGGTATTTATGCACAAAGCATTGTTAACCCAGACTATGTCAGAACACTTAAATCATATATGCAGCAATGACTTCACCTGCCAGTGAAAGGTAGCCAGGTCTTTCATACTGCATAAACACACCAAATAACAAGTTTTATTACTGGACAAGAAAAACAATACACCCATTTACACGGCAATGAAAATTTAGGCAGGAAGAAACAAAAGAATCGATCAGAAATTACAGTTTTGCCAGGACACAGGTAACATCCTTTTTTCTTGCAAAGGTTCTTCAGATCTCTAATTAATGTGAAGGAATTTGTGGATGGGCACCAGCTTTTTTTTTAAAAAACTCATGCAAAATGTCAGTTAAAGGCAACTTCCTCTCTTGCCATCTGGGATAGCCATTTCAGTACCAACTCAGACACATGCACCACATGCTTCTTCCAATGCTCCTTTTTTTCTTTTATCTCATAGCGCTGACTACGTCCAACCCTGTTTAGCTTGTGGAATCCAATGTGATTACAGGCTGGTGTGGTTACTGGCTGCACACCTGTTGTTTGCTAATCCAGATTCGGACCATCTTGTCTTTGACTGCTGCTTCACACATCTTTGGTCGTCACAAGAACTGTGAGTGCAACATGAGCAGAAAATCTAACAGTGAAGGACCACGTATTAGAGTGATACTCTACTCATTTTGTTAAATCGGTGTTTGATGAAACGCAATCAAAAACGATAGTAACGAAACTCTAAAAACAAAAATCCAAGTTAACATTCAGCGTGTCTCCATCCACTCTTCTGTGTCTCTTCAAAATATGCTCCAGTAGCATTAATAAAATAACTAATACTAAACACCTGTAATCTTATTCTGAAGTCAAAATAAAACCTTCTGCTTTAGAGGTTATTTATGGCAGAGGCAGTTTAGGTAGGCAATGCAGCCAAAGGCAGCATGCACTGTTGCACAGAAATCAACATTAATGTTGTACACTCACTCTGTACTTCAGCTTCACGCAATTTAAAACACAGTAATAAGTTCCAACCTACCTATCTGTCTCTGTGCTGGGACATGGGTTTTCAGAGTCGTCACTCTGGGGGTTGAAGTAGTGCTGGTGGAAGATGTAGTTATAGGAGCTGATGTTGTGGGCTCCTGGACTGATGGTGTCTCAGAAGCAGGTGTTTTAGCACTGGATGCTACCTTGGAGATGACAGTACTGAGGGTTGCAATGTCAAGTACTGTGGGTGGCAGCCTGCCTGTGATATAAGCTGCTAGCCGATTGGTAGGATGTAATGCCCCCATCTGTCCCAAAAGCAGTTTGGCCTGAGGATACCTTTTATCATTAACCTGAAAAAAGTGGAAAAGGGAAACTTTGTGAAAAGAATGCTAATTCACCACTTCTGGAGAGGCGTTTCATTCCATGGGACTTCTAAGTATCCTTTTCAAAAAAACATTGCAATTCGGAATGGAAATTCCTAATATCCTTACTGCCCAGGAGAACTTCAACCAGCTCTTGTTATATCATAGTAATACAGATTTTAAATGCTGTTCAGACTCGCAAATAAAATTGCAGAGTCCAAGAAACATGTGAAATCACTGAAATTAGATAGAGTGAAGCTAGACCCTGTTTTTCCTGTTCCTTACTTATGCTACAGTCCTGAATAAAAATAGGCTCCCAAACTCAAGAACAACTTTGGATAAAATTCTCAAACCTAAATAAGACCTAGCATGACAAAGGAAAGAATACTGATGACATATACATTGAGACAAAACTCTAAAGAGTTTGTAAAAGCTTTTTCCACTTGTTTCTTACCCATACTGTCATTTGATACTGTAACTAAGTTATGATGAGTTGACCAACTTCAATTTCAAAGCTGTAGTGGTAACTGACTGCACAGAGCAAAACCAGAACATCTTTTTGAATGTCAGGCTTTATGCCTAGTAGACAATAGGAAGTTTTGATAGTGTTGCATTTTACTTTGATGTTGTTCAGTAATACCTTCTAAAAGCCAAATATATTTAACAGACTACTTGATAAGGTCTTGACTCTTTCTTTGATCAACTTTTATTAAAGATAAAAAATCTCCTCCTACATTTTCTTCTCCAGTAGCTTCTATTTCTGAGGGTGCCATATTGCAAAGTGTCATGAAAATATATTTTACTCTCATTTTCTAATTCATATGCCTTCCCTGACAGTGGTTTTACTATAACCACGAATGCCTATGACTGAAAAAGATCTTCATCCTAGCCCTACAGTTCCTACCACCAATTCTTAACACCAAGTCAGCAACATAAAACTGCAGGGAAAAGACTCACTTTGAACTTAGAACTATGAAGTCTCCTGACGAAAAACACATAGTCTACAAAGAGGATGCAGGCTATTAGTGAAGATTAACAGTAGCTCTTAATGATAACATTTTCATTTTAAAGTTTTGTCCCAGTGTACATTTCCTCAGAAAATATTCTTTTTTTGTACTCTGAACAGTCATTCACTTAGAAGTATTATTTGTCAAATGCATCTTCAAGGGGTTTCCAAAGCACCAAAATGATCTTGAGAGAGATCCAAATAGCCAAAAAGACAAGCTAAACTATCAGATTTCAGACTTCCAATCAGATTTACTGAGTCAATCTTGAAAGGGACAAGCTTATGAAGAGGGAGGAATGCCACCAGATACTAAGAATTCATGTCTGGACAAGCAAAATACTAGGCAGACAAATTAAAAGACTGTTCTCCCCTTCAAGGAGTTCTAAGATATTGGATGAAACTGCATCTAAGCTCCACAGTAAAGGCAGAGGGACCCACCTGAATCAAGTCTGAGGGGCTCATATTAGCTTTACATTTGTAGACAACCAGTTTTCCTGCAGGAGAAACCCCTGCATAAAAAGGCAAGCCTTTGCCCCAGTGCAACTTCTCCTGTGGTTTGTCCAATGGGTCTGCCCGCAGGGACTTTAAACTTTCTGAGTTATTGCATGACGGCACTCTGCTACCAGCAGTCTCCGAGACAGGTATCTCAGGCTTCTCATCCTTGGCCTGGTAGGATGGCACTGAAATTTTCACTCTGGAGGAGTAGACAGGAGGGTGGTTCTCATTCTGGGCCTTGTGTTCCGAAGCCAATTCAATAACGAAGCTACCCACTTTGAGGCACTGTGGTGTGTTATTGTTGATATGCTGTGATAAGATGCCCAAGATCTTATCTTGATCTTCCTCCAAGTTGCAGTCAGACATAATCTCGATAAGTTCGGTTGGTTCACCTTGAGTGGTATGATGAACATAGGAGGTGGAGGAAGAGTCCCCCTCACTACGGGAAGAACACCAGCTTTTCTCTGAGAAAGAATTGAAATAGGTTTCTGCAATGCTATGGCATTTTAATAACCTGGACAGTCAAACAGTTTCATTCTGCCCACACCTCCACCCTTGTCTCAGATCAGCTGCAGGGCAACAAGTAAAAGAACTGTTCAAAGCATCACTTCCCCTTGCAGAGCTCCATAAGCAAGCAAAAACTCACTGCAAAACTAATACAACTATTTCTCATGATTCATTCCCGGCAGCCGCACCAGGTCAGGTCGTATCCCATTGCATCACAAGCTAAACAAAGCCGGGTTGTTTCAGTACACAGGTGAAGGATCTCCAAACACCACCGACATACAGTAGAAAGCATCACTTGTTATTCAAAAGATGGCACTTTTCTCTTGGCGTCAGAAAAGGACCAGCGTCCTATAATGGCACGAAGGGCAAACATGCCACTAGCAGAACTGTCTTTTGCAGAAGATGTATAAACAGAGGCTTGACCTTTTGTTGTCATTAGAGATACAATGTCCCTTTTTGCAAAACTGTAAGGATGTTGAATCCTGTGTCCTGGCCATTTTAATTTCACCTACCAATGCACCAGTATTTTCCACTAGTTGTATTATTTTTCCATTCCCATCCTTAAATGTAGAGTGCGCTGTTGTATACATTAAACAGTGAAAAAAATCAGTTCAAAAAGGCACCTATATTTCATCAGTGGATGACACAAAGCCTCTAGTATATGTCTCATTGAAAGTTGTAACATGATTTGGGCTGCTTCGGACTAAAAGGCAACACAGATGACTAGCCTACTTCTTTAGGAACTAGAAAGTCAAACCCAGTATATATAATGTAGCAGAACTTCAACCTTTCAACTTGAATTTAAAGAATTCAACATCAAAGAATTTCAAATAAGGCATAGGTGCTTCCTCATCCCATATGGTTCTATGTGAAGAACATGAGGAGCCCACCCTCCCAGTATCACTTGCTATTTATTAATTCTTCAGTAACTACAAAGTAATAGTAAAGAAAAAAAGAGGGAGAAAAAATACCCAGACAAAGCAAAAACATTGATCTCATTCCTTCCCCAGTATCTAGCTATCAGTCTTGAAGACAAGTCTGCTGTGCAGTTTTATCTTTTACTGCTAAACCAGGTACTGTAGCATTGGTCATTTTAACTTTGCATTTTAACTTGCAGCAGCAAGTCCTGGATATTTAGTCTGCTGTATCTCTCCCATGTGGCACACACACACACACACACACACACAGAGCTGCTTAAGAAAACAGGAAACTGCAAGCACATAATAAGATTTTTATTGACAACCATAACAAGCCTGTCAGCAAATGGACTTTTGTTTCATTAATAGCTTCAACCTTTTTTAAAAAATCCCACAAAAACGCATCAAATCATGCTCAAGACTCAGCTCTTACCTCCTGATTTATTAGTGTCTTTGTCCACCTCACAGGTTGCCTTCTCAGGAGACTGAACCTCTAGATCATGCTCCTGCTGGAAGAAATTCAAGCAAAAATATTCATCTTATACATCTCACTTCTACACTGAAAAGCACACCACAAAATGAACTAGTTCACCCAGAATCATAAAACATATGTTGTGTTTGACAGTGTTACAGTTTTCATCTTAGAACAGCCCTTTTAACAATGCACTTGTAAGCCTTACATGACAATGCACTTGGCAGCCATGGAACTTCCCTATCCAAGACAATCTGTATCACAGTAACAGTTTACCAGCACTGCTAGGTAATTTAGGCTCCAGGCTCCACCACTAAATGCAAGTTAAACCCTCATGTCATGTAGAAGTTCCTGGGGAAAAAAATTACTTCATCATTTTCAGTATTTCTGCCTGTTCTATGATACATGTTAGTTACAATGTAATTTCTTACCTGCACGCTACAGCTCTGTGAATCACTTTTCTCTTTTTGCCACTTTTTCTTCTCTCTCTTGTGTTCATATGCCCGCACCCTTGCACAAGTCATCAAACTTTCAAAGTACAAGTAGATAGGATCCTTGTCCTCCTCTCGAATCTAAGAGAAAGAAAAACAACAGAGAAAGCCTCTCTGTTCTAGATGCACATTAGATCCTCGAAACAGCTCTGCTTTCTAACAATGCCTCAACATTAAGGATTCAATAGTAAGGGATAAAAGAAAAGTCTACCATTTAAAGCTAAATCTGCCCTCTTAGTATCACCACCCCCCCCAAAAATTCAAACCCATTCAGTGGGGGAAGAAACCCTAAGTGTCATGCATTGTTAAACATTATCAGGTATACATTAAATAGCAACTCTGTTTGTTCTTCAAAAATAACTAGACTCAGCTCTACTGCTGTTGTCATTTTTACGAGATAAGGTGAGGGGAGAGATAAAGGCAGATTCTTCCAACACTTGGAGTGAAATCTCAAAAAAGAACAAAAAAAAATTCCAGAACTACAGTGAACATTGTGTGCCTGCATCCTTTTTTTTTTTTTGTAAGTAATTTGTTACTTAGAAAGGCTACATTATATAGCTAATAACTTGCACAAATAATAAAGGAATAGCAATCATTTTGACGAAGATAGCATCCATTACTGCAGTTTTAAATGAGGCAATTAATGAATCACCTTTCCCTATCTACATATTGCTACAGCAAATTCTCAACAGAAGACAGACATAGTTATGACTTAGTTTTAATTTTCAAAACAAAGAAAAACATGCATCTCTTTTCCTCTCTTACCACTGGATTGGGTTTAGGAGTATACACTCTGCCAGGTTTTACACCACTGGGAGACCTGTTCTTACTAGGAAGTAAGACCTCTGGATTGGGCAGCACCAGAGATTTAACCGGTTCAGTAACAGATGGTGTTGGGATGTAAATGGGCTCTGGATCTATTTCACCTTCTACTTTCACCCACAACGGACAATTTCTAACAGGTTGTTCTGGTTCTGAGTCACATATAGCTGAAAAAAAAGGAGGAAAAACCAAGAAATAACTTACAAATGAAACACTATCACAGCAGTAACAGAATTTTTAGTTTGAGCTTGAGGTCTAGGCATGCAGCAATCACGAGTTCATGCTACCAGAAAACACTACTGGTTGTTTTTCTTGTCTCAGATTCTAGCCAAAAGTTACTGGAATTTGTCCATAAGAAAGAGAAAATGAAAATAAAAATGGTCTTACACTAATCATTGTTTCTCACTTGTACTATGATAGCAGATACATGAAAGCACTGAAGAATTAGTCACCTTCACCGATGCTACGTATTGAAAAATTACAAAACCCCCACCCACCAGACTTGTATAGCACAGCTCTATGGAAGAATTCCTTTATTCTGGTAGAACACCAGACAACACTATGTTCACTTTTAGCTATTGCTAGAAGCACTACTAGCAAGAAACTGAAAATGTAAATTCATGGACAATTTCTACCAATCTAGTTTTCTGAGCATACCTTAGGCCAGATCCAAAACTACCATAAATCACTGTGTTTCTGCTGAAATCACTCAACTATGCAGCTACATAGAGCAACTGAAAATACAGCTCTAGATGCTCACTTGGTAACAATGAAAGAGAACAGCACAGTTAACAGTGAATATTATCAACACTAACAGCAGCAATTATCTCATATCCTTAGTCTCTGAACACATTTAGAGTAGAGCAAGGTTTTACATTACCAAAACAACTCCAGCTATTTGATTGCAATAAAAAACTACACAGAACCTAAAATGCTGATCAGGCAAGTAAGAGTTAAAGAAAAAGAAGGAGGAAAAGGTGTTATTTTTCTGCTAGTTAGCTATAGGAAAGTAGATGCTGCAGCTCTTAATTTCTGGATTTAGTGGCATCATTACTACATTCCAATAAAAAATGACCAACATGATAGGTGGTCTCTGCAAAGCTGTAAGTAATTTGCTTTTGCCAACTAATACTCACTGTATTCCACCCTTTTTCTCTTCTTCTTATCTTTCTGCTTCAGCTCCTCTTCCCCCCCATCACCCTCTTCCACATCTTCATCCTCTTGTAGTTCTTGTGTTCCGTACAGCACAAGATTTCCACGTACAGCCTTTTTCATCATTTTCTTATGTTTTGACCCTCCTTTCACCAGCAAGACTCTTCTCTTCAAGCAAGTGCAGCCAAACATACAGTCTGGCCTGCGGCAGTGGGTCGGCTGACGTTTCTCCAGCGCTAGACTGGCACAAACGCAGCCCAGTCGGCAGAACTCATTATTGCAAGGAGGTGCTCGTCGTCTTATTATTTTGTGGATAGGTTTGTTTTTGAGAGAAGCCTACAAAAAGTTTTAAAGAAGCATAAACTTCAAATTTTAGTAAGAGGAATATTTTAGCAAAATTAAAATCAAGCATATGCAAAATTGATATTCAAATTTCATTTAGAATAGCCCCTCCAACTACATTGTTTACACATGAAAGTTTGTCATCTATACCTAAATAAAAAAAGAACAGAACAAAGAGGAGTTTGCATTTGAAGTCTTCTGAGAGGCAATTTGAGGCAGTGAAACCATCTTGGTAATAAGTAGGATATGGAAAAAGCAAAAGAGGTTATCACATGACAACCAAGTTACATGACCAAGACTGTCTCACAGTTAGCTCAACTGAAAAAATACAAGTGACAGATAGCAAGGAAATGCAGTTTCTGAATAACAATTATATTCACCAGAATTTTGAATGGTGAAAATTTTAGATAACTCAAATTATTAATAATTGATATCAATATGCTATTATCACAATTAGTTTTTTCACATACTGCTCAGTCAGCACATTTCAATTCTCACTGTAAAAACCACATCGCAAAGAAATCTCATGATTTGTCAAGCTCCTTAGCAGCTTCAGTCTTACTTTGTGCATCTCTATGCACCATTAGTAAAGTGGGCAGATGATAAAAAGCAACAGAACAGGAGGGAAAAAAACCATCGCAGGTGTACCTGAGCTGTAAGCAGGGTTGCCAAAGAGATGTCTGCTCGCTCTTCTGTAATATAGGTCCGTGGTTTCCCATCCCAGAGAGCACACTCTTCCAAGTCCATTAACCTCACTTGAGATTTAGACAAACCTGGTGGACGAGCTGCTTGTGGATGCTGTGGTGCTTGACGCAAACTAATCTGTTTTGGAAGTGTGTTTTCATCCACAGCTGGCAACAAAAAACCATCTGCTTGGTTACTCAAACTGCTAGCAGATTTAGCAGCCTTTTCCCCTGATACTGACGAGTTCTGTTTCTGCTTTGCAGGAGAAGGTGAAGGCAGTATAGGCCTGTAAGATGATTTTACTCTACTGTTTGTTGATGCCTGTCTGGTTTGAGTCTTTGTCTTCCTAGAGGTAGATGATGGAGGAGCAGGCTTGAATGTGTAAGATGTTGATGGAATTACAGTGGACTGCTTCTTTAAAACACTGTCGAGTGTTCGCACATAGCTAGTGCTCTTAGTGGGAAGCTGATACACCACGGGAGAAGTGGGAGTGCTAGAAGAGAATCCCAGACTTGTTTCCATCAATTTCCCTTCATTTTCCAGGTACTCATCCAGCTTGTCACTACAGAATGCTGACCGATTCTTCAAAGAACCTTCTGAACTGCCACCTAAATAAAAAAAGAGTACTTTCACTCCTGGGAAAACATACTGACAAACCTTATAATAATTCAACACTGCAGAATAGGTGAATACATCTCTAAAAAATGCACTCTTCTAAAAAAATTATATGTAACATAGGCACACCAAATATAATTCACCCTGAAACACAACTAGCAGCCTGAACAACTGTTTTTGTGGTGACCTTACATGTGTATTTGTGGTGAGTTGACCTTGGCTGGACTTCAGGTGCCCACCAAGCCACTCTCTCACTCCCCTTCACAGCAGAATTGAGGGCTTGAAAATAAGTGGAAAAAAACCCCTCATGGGTCAAGATAAAAGCAGTTTAATAAAGCAAAGGCCATGTGTGGAAACAAAGGAAAACAAAAAATGCATTCTCTGCTCCCCATCAGCAGGTGATGCGCAGGCACTTTTTGGGTAGCAGGGCTTCAGTACTCATAGCAGTTATTCCAGAAGACAAACATCATAAATAACAAATGCCCCCCTTTTCCCTTCTCTTAGCTTTTATTGTTGAGCAGACATACAGCATGGAGCATCTCTTTGGTCAGTTTGGGTCAGTGGTCCCAGCTATGTCTCCTCCCAAGATCAGCCTGCTGCTGAGGGGGGAATGTTGGAGACAGCCTTGGTGCTGTGCCAGCACTCCTCACCAGTAACTACAACACTGCTGTGTTACCAACACCTTTCCAGCTAACAATGCACAGCACAGAACAGCATTGTGAGGTGGAGAAAGCACTCCATCACAGCCAGGCCCCATACAGCACTCATTCACAAAACCACCTGCAACAGGCAGGGCTTCTCTGCTTCTATTCTTTTTTTGTTTGTCCTAAACACCTACCCTAACTGCTACACCAGAACACACCTGGAATATCCCAATATAACATTGCATAAAAATGCAGAAGGAACAATACAAATATTTGGACTAAATATAAAGTGAAACAATGGCAAATTGTCAATGATCCATGTCCCCCTGAGGTATGGCAAAGTAATAAAAATGTCAAGAATCCTACTAGAACTGAAGTTAAAAATACACCAATATAAATGAAAATCACTCTAGTTCATTGGGGTCCCTGAAGCAACAGAATTCTAGAATTACCACACTTCCAAGTAAACTCAAACCTGACAAAAGACCAAAATTATTACAACTTTGATCTTCACTCAAGCCATCTGTGTAGAACAGAACACATGTATTTTTATCTTACTCAAGAATTTCTCTCTTCCTTCATAAACCTCCATTCCGATTATAGAACCAGTATGAAAAAAATGATTTAAACATAGCATATTCCACATGAAAAAAATAAATCTCTCATTAAGACACCCACAAATACCAAATTGCAAGATCTGTGAAAGGTCAAGAACAAGGTCACATGTTGGAAATATGTACAATGCTCTCCCTCTTTTTCATTTTTTTTTTACCTTCATTTCTAGAAGCACCATGAAGCTTTCCTCGCCAGCCTTTGATTTTTGTGATATCATTTGTCTTTCCTGTCCTGGAAACAAAAGGAAATCCAGTATCTGGAAAAGAAGAAAGCTAGCCTCAGTTTATGAACCAAGCTTGATTGTATCAGCATCTTAGCAAACTTTGCTTATTCTTTTTCAGAGATAAATAGAAGAAACAAAAAGTCTGAAGTGAATTGATTTCTACATTTCTTTTCAATTAACAGAATATAAACCCACACTTCCTGTAGAGTTCTGCTGGATGGCCATGCATCTGCTACCCCATACAAAAGGTGACTTCTATATTTTCAGTTTTCGTCTCCTTAGCAATGGTGCAAACAATTGATTCCAAAAGTCAAATGAGCCAACCCACTAATCAATAGGCTAAAATAGAACAGGCAGGTTTTGAGCTCATACTACAGCCTCACACAGCAATAACAGCAATTCGATTCTCTTCCCTCAGTTGAACCAATGACTTTTATAAGACCTACAGAAACTTCACGTAATTTTTGCTGTTCTGCCAAATTCAGATGAGTATATAATTAGGGGCAGAAACACTGAATGACCACAAAAGGCAAACAGCAACATCCCTGTCAAGTTATCCATCAGCTCTGGGAGCTAAGATTGAATGCAAAAATACTAACGGGGATCTGCGTGACTGTTTAACATATTGCTAGGCTAGAAATAATTTCATTTGACACTAAGCTGACTGAGGAGTTCTGAACTGAACCTGCCTCTCTTGCAGTGTAAACGTCTGCCTCTCCCAGCTCCCAAAAGCAGCAGATTAAGAAAGTAGTCAGAATATTACAATGAGAGAAAAATTTAAGTAGAAGAAAGATAAGCATGCAAGATAAGCTATACTTTGCCCAACCAGTTCATTATTAAAAACAGTACCTACCAATAGTATTAGAATCTTAGTCACAGTACAATGAGAAATACACTTGTTTGGATACCAAGTAAGTTTTAAAAAGCACAGTCAACCACTACTTTCGTATTAAATAATTATCATAAAGTTATAGGCTAGTCCCCAAGTGGCATCTCAAGCTCTTCTGGAAAATTCTGATACTCAGCTATATGAAAGACAACTTTTTTTTTTGTTTTGCATGTAAGCAACATCAGATTGCTTAGGCTTTTTCTGAGCAATTTGAGAGGTCAGTATAAAATAAACTAGACAGATACTATTACTGGATCACAACCATCACAAAATGGGAAGGCTGAAGACAGTCCAGCCAGAATTATTTGGGACTCCTTGGCCAATAACCACATAATAATTTAAGGAAGTTCTTATATTTTGTCATTTTGATACTGCTTTAATCTCTCTAAGACATCAAGTTGAACTAAATGGCCATTCTCTCCTTCTCATAAAAAGATAACACTTGAGGTTTCAGCAAATTCATATTCTACCCACCTGGAGAATTGGGATTGGTTCCTGAATAGCTCCACGAAGAGTAGTTTGAGTAGGAAAGAGGAAGCTGCACACCCAAATATTTCAAGTCAATACTCATTGTTGGGTCCACAGAATTCAACTTCAATCCCACTACAAGAGGCAAGTATCAGTAAATGTCTCAATGCAGCAAGATGTTAGGAAAAAGGAAATCAAGTATTTTACTAAAAGATAAACCATGAAGTTACACACAGGCTTTTCTAGCATTCACCCACCATTTTAAGGGACTTGAGAAAGAGCATTAGTGACTGTAACTGTTACTTATACTGGATTTACAGCCGGTATGAATTAAAGAGCATTGTATCCAACAGGAAATTGAGGAAAATGTTGAATTACTTCTCATAGTTTTCTTGATTACTACTGAAGTTTCCACAGAAATCCATTAATCAAAGTGTAATGTTGTAATAAATCTCACAATAAAAGCTTTTGTTCACTTTTCTGAAGAAGTCAGCACTGTTTGCATCCTTGGAGGCTGGAGTTACTGCCTGAACCCAACTCAGCTGACTGACATTTCCTATCACTACATGAATTATCAATCTTGCCAGCGGTACCTACACATCCCCTTCTGTACTGAAAACTAATACTGTGCAAGAACATCTATCACACACAATTCCATTTCAACTAGTAATAAGAGACAAGAACAAACCACATTTTAGATCTGAAGAATGTGTGTGTGTGTGCATGTGTGTTTGTTATGGTATAAACTTGCATTTAGAGAGCTATCTCAGGACTAGTTCATCAAATGATCCCAAACTCAGTAGGATATTTTTTTCCCAGACTTGGCACTTTGCAATAATAGACTATTTTTTTCTTGAAGCAAGGGGCAAAACAGCTATAAAAACACTAAACAATCCATGTTGTTGATGCCACCACAAATGCTTAAATGCTTATAATATGTTCCTTTATTAACTCCCCCCAAACAGTCAAACTGAAAGATTTACTTGGCTGCAAGAGCTATCTTTATCTATGGGAAAACAAGTACAGTTACAAAATGCTGAGAAAAGCTGAAGCCAGTAAACTGGAGTTAGCACTTTCTAAGAAAATACTGTTATCCTGAATTCAAGAAATTACTGTTGTCAATCAAATTCAGCTCACAGTCGGGTGTTGAGAACATCTATTTCGGATTTTAGCTATAGAAATCTATAAATGTTGCTCCTGTTGTCAACAAGTCTGAAATTCATACATTAAATGTGTGAGTCTTGATACTGAAAATGTATGACTTGACAAGGCTCAGGAAACATAAAAGTAGTACTTGCACATGCAGTAGAAATCTTGTGTTGACAGCACACATTTATGTTCATAAGTGCCAACACAGTGACCAGATTATTGGCAGCCTGAAAACAATTGACATGAACAATCTCAGACATGGTTGTTTGAACAGATACTGTTATCAAAGACAGGCCAGTGAGATATAATTTTCGCATCTACACAGGGAAAATGAGAAGCAAGCAAGTCAATCCGACATTTTGTATAAAAACATGTCAGCTGCCAAATGTCAAGATGCCATCCATCTCTTTTCAGACTCTATTTCAAATAAAAGACTACAGAGCTTACTTTTCCTGACACTCCGTTCTGTCATCTCCAAAAACAAGCCTATTGTCCTTTAACACTCAAACAAAAGTAAGAACATCACCCATTGCACAAAACCTATTATCTCAGTTTAGGATCATCATGTAAAAAACCCAGACAAAAAAATAAGAGTATGACTCCAAGAAGTGCAACATGGAACGAACAGACAGATGGAAGAGAACAAATAGTAACAGTTAAGTATTACGTCAGTACAGACATCTCCATATATGACAGGTGAACTAGCACTTCTATTAATTTCTATCTTCTCCAACGTATTGCTAAATTTTAGTTGCTGTAATCAAATAGTAGCAAATGAAGAACCTTAAGAACTTTCTCCCCTCCATCAGTTGCAGCTGATAAATCTGAAATGCAATGCATGACAACACTGCCTTCAATTTTCAGGAATATGGTAAGGGATTTGAATTAGCTCAGACAGAAGAGGCATCCTTCTTCTATACACTGCAATACTCCAGCAGGAGCTTTTCTTCTAACACACTTAAGAAGCTGGATTCTCTTCTTCTGAAGCATCTTCCTGCAGTTCTGGTGCCTCTAAAATCTAGATAGCCTCAATCACCATTTTCTTAACTTTACAAATCAACAGCAAGTACAGGGTTCAGGCATAGCTCCAACACTTCATCAGTGAATTTCAAGAAGAATCTTAAGCTTCTGAACTACACTGTTGAGAATCAAAACCAGAGTTAACAATAAAATTGCTATGTCTATTTTTCCACACTGCAGTGAGGCCAAGAAAGCCACAGAACTTCCACAAAACAGCTGAAAGCACATTTAGAAACATGCACTTCACGTTCTCCACACAGAAGGGAGCCATGTCTCTTTGTTCTGTAGTATGTGACAAGGAGGTATTAATCATGACCCGTGGCCAAGAAATTTTAGAGAACAAGTATCAGAATCAAGAAGGCTAATGAGGCTACACCAAGATCCAACATCCTAGATAGAATCCATATGTTTGGAAAAATATACAGCCCTTACGTTTGGCCTAGAGGCACTCCCCAGTCACCTTCTTATGCCTTATTGGTGCTACTGTGCAGAGAGAGAGAAGGAAAAAAACAATCCCTCTCACCATTAACATAATTGTGCTCCTTCCCTAATCTCAAGTCTGCAATGCAAGAGATGTGTGACTATTTGGAAGGTGACTGTACTCTGGATAAAGACTGGTCCCAGTTCACATGCAGCAGCTGAAGTCTAACAAAAGTATTCGTATTGTAATTTACTTCACAGCCTGATGAGTTACATCTGTATCTATTGTAGGAATGCTCCTGCTGCAAAGAGCCTTCACATACCTTCCTTTCCCTCTAAAAATTAGAGAGGTGTGGGTCATTCTCATCATTGCTGAATCACAATTTCATTATTTAACAGGCTCAGCAGATTACCATCCAACATTGGAAATGATTGTCACAACCATTCATGAAAGTCAAAATTCTTCTGATGCCTTTTCCTTAACCTAGTGCTAGACATTTCTTGTCCATTTTGTAATATCTGTGAACTGCTCAAAACCTTTCAGAAGGTACCACACACTTCAGCACCACTCCAGAAGCTGAAGGAAAAGCACATGGGTTGTACATGTTCCCAGCTGCAGATCATCTCATGAGTGAAACAGCCCTCACTGCTACTATCACACAGTTGCCAACACACTGCAATTTTATGATCCTTTTCTTGGGTAAAAAAAACATCTAGGAGGTCCACAGTAAAATCCCAAAAAGGCTTACCATTGCTCTATCTACCACTGCCAGCAGCTGTCACCAGCATAATGAAATGCATGGCAACACATGCACAGGCAGACCTGTGAGGGCAGGTTTGCCAGGGAGGTCATCAGAGCACAGGGCTGCCTATTTTTGGAATCATGGGAGGGGAAAGTTGCGTTTTCATGATACAACTGCCAATACTGATGCTACACCACTGAGGTACAACCTGGGTACAGATGGGTTATCTTGTTTTATTCCCACCACATCCAGGACACATCCCTAAGAGCTCTCTACTACCCTTCTTAAGACCACTTTGCAAAGTTGAAGACAGAAATATCAGCTCAACACTAGCAAGAGGCAAAGGCATCCCTTTAAATGATTGCAAATAATTACAGGATAGTTCTCATCATACCTCAGGCATAAACCATTCACAATAATCCAGCATTCTTCACCATAGAAGCTCTGTGAGGACCCAGAACAGCTAAATACTAGAGTCAAGACCAGTAACTGGAGTCTCAGTCCCTACAGTGTTATAGTTATATGTTTGAAATATTTAGGGCCAGAAGCTCAAGAGCATGAGGTACAACAATTCCATCTGGATCAATAATTTCATCATATGCTCTGATGCTTATGTTTGTGTCACCAGTCTCAGGACTAATACTGCTCAAGACTATCAACATCATCAGTAGAAAGAACATTAAGTTCCACTGTGTGGATCCTTTACTTTCTCCCATCTGACCTCAGGATAATATTGCATATAAATGAAAGATAACAAGCTGAAGTACCTTGCCTTTTATGTGGCTAGTGAACTTGGATCTACAGTGACTAAAAGAAATCTGGGCTCAAAAACAGCAAATAGGTAGTCTTAGTTAAGTATTGCTGGATCTCTAATTTCTCTACTACGAGGAAATGCCTACTTTCTATGAAGGAGTAAAATCAACTCCATCTGCTCTCCACCAGGTTTAGCTCATTACCAAACAGGCATTGCCTCAAGTCTAAAGGCATATAACAAAATGCAAACTCCTGCTCTGCTGTGGGAGATTCAGAATTCATCTTTTACCACCTCCGTGTTTTCTAATTTGCAACAAGAACATGTGAAAATGAAAACCCAGACGCCAGCTGTGTTAGGCATATACAGTATTGCAACCAGTAGGAAATTATCAACTCACTAGGATTAAGTATAATGTACAAGCAGGTGCAACAGTTATGTACACCACTCGCTTACCTTCCTGAAGGCTAGGATGTATTACTTGCTTATGCCTCAAGGTCTTCAGCTCTTCCATCAATTCCTTTTCCAGTACTTGTATTCGTGCTTGACAATCTGCTCAAAAATAAAAAAGAGAGAACATATAGAAATCATTTACAATGCATAAAATTAACTTAACGATTCCTTTTCCTACGTGTCTTTACAAGTTCCTTTATTGCAGGGAATAGCCACTCACAAGAAAAATATAAAAATGTACCTGGATCATTTGTAGTCAACAGGGGAGCCTGGAGAGTCTGCGACTCTTCTCCTCCAGCTCTATCAACAGTATGAATGTCAAGAGCTTCCTACATACATAAAGAGCCTTGAGTAAGATACTTAAAACACAGAGATGCAAACTAGGCCATATCAAAATGATCATTAATTTACTCAAAACACGAGACTGTTTAATAAACAAGTATGCATTGTTTTATACAGCACTCCAGATTTCACTACTCCTCCCTAAGCTGCCAAGAAATAAGAAAATGTTATGAATAACACTGGGGTAAGATAAGAACAGATTTGGAAAGAGGCCATAAATCTCCAAATTCAGTTTAAAAGAAAATATACCTTCAGCTTGTAAGCACAAAGGGCTTAAAAATGAGACATTATAAAAGGTTTTGAATTTTACTTACAACAGTGAGGCTTTACCTTTGATGCAAAGGACACAAAAAGCACACCATCAACATTTTCAAGGTCCGGTTTCACATCTGGAAGGATACTCCCAGGCCCCAGAGAGGTGTTCTTGATTACAGCTTTCCCTATAGCCTTAGGTGGTCGACCAGCCTTGGAAATTTTCAGTTTCCGTGGCCTTCCTCTTTTAGTTGTAACTGATGATAGGGTGGTTTGATTGCTACCAGAGCCTTTGAGAGATACAGGACTCTTCAGTATGCCAGGCTTTCTTCTGCCACAGATCTCTTTATCTGAAAAGTCACAACTTACTGAGCCCCTGAGACTAAAATTAGGTGATTTGGATAGCGCCAACTGGGCCTCTTGGATTGCAGAGTATTTCTGTGCCACTTTACTCCCAGTAGAGTCTTTTTTCATAACTAACTCCTCTGTCACAGTGGCTGTGCCTGAGCAAGAGTCTTTGTGATTTTCAAAACACACAGGCAAGGAGTCCAGGATTGCGCTCAAAGGGGATTTATCCTTCTTGCAAGATGAAAGCATGGCCTGTGGCAGCTCAGATATCTTCACTGTGCTCTTAGTGACTGCACAAGGTTCCAAATAGACCACCGGCATCTTACCACTCTCCAGTTTTAACATTTTTGCTTTGGCAACACCAGAAGGACTGGTTAGCATCCGCTTCCTAGACCTGCATGCTCCATCAATTCCATCTACTTCACTGCGTCTCATTAGGTGCTTTTGTAGGATGAGATCATCATCATCAGCGCTGGAATATTCATCGGTTTCTTCATCTGTGTCTTCTTGTTTCACAGTTACTCCTTGAGTACAAATATTTGACTCGTAGTCATAGTCATCTACGGGTTCCTCTTTAACGACCACATTAAAGCGTCCATTTGGGTCCAGTGGAGAAGACACATGGGAACTGCTTTCATAAGCGCTACCAATGGGACTGGGGGGACAGAGAGGGGACAAAACCAAAACACAACATCAGATCTTTATCAAATCTCAAATCCTTTGTCAGAATTCCATCATCGCCTGTAACCCTTGGTTATAGATTGTAAAAAACTTTCAAAATGCTTGCAGGCACAAGTCTGCTAAAAAAGCTGTCATTTACAAGCTTACATTTTTAGAAGTAAGCACCCAAAAAACCCCAAGAATTTGCCATCATTAAGAATAATCCAACATCTTATCTGAAGACAGCAGCACAACTTCCTTCCCTACTATCAGGGTGACGTCTGCACTTTTTCCTCTTTGGCTCAGCACAAACTCATGCTAAGCTGTCATGTTTGAAATGCTCAGAAGCGGCCTTAAGTTTGCTGTGCATCTCGTTAAGATACTGAAGCCATCGTGCTTGCAAGCAAGAAGCCAAGCGAGTACTTAATGCACTAGAAGTTTAGTCCATCCTGAAGCCACATACAGACAACTCTTAAATTCAGCTGTTGTTCAAATGCTTACAGAATGTTAATATCCCAATATCCTACTGAATCATGGTCCGTTATCCACTGAGTCTGAGTATTAACCTAACCAGAATTTGAAACACCATGCATTAGATACTGAAGAATTATAGTGCAGTCAGTTAAGCTCCAATAAGATCATGTCATTTCAGTTATCCTAAATAATTATTCCAATTGTTAAATTCACGCTATTAAAATGTTATTAGAAATAATAAAACATACGTTCAAATATAACGTAACGATTGTAGTAACACTATTTCATATACAGAGGGAATATTGCTTTACATATATTGTGTGTATAGATGTACGTGTGTCCATTTTATTATTAGTATTATCTATCCCTACCCCTTTAAAGAATGACTACGCTCAGCTGAACCTACAAGCTAGGACTGAGTAAGGGGGAAAGAAGTGGAGGATGAGGCTGCTTTCTCCTCATGTAGACTGAGGACGTACTTAAGGGAGAAAAGCTGAGACACACAAGAGTCACAACGTGGAGCCAGGAGTCTCCATGAACAAAGTCTGCAGGGTTAAAACAGGGAGCTGACAGTCAAGACACAGATTTATGTATTTACATGCAAAATTCTTAAGAACAACAGAGAAGCTATCTAGGAAACTGGACGCAACTCAGAAGGACACTAAGTAACCAGCATTAAGCTTGAAGCAAAAACCTGTCTTGTGAGGGAACAGCAGGCAGGAGAGTGGACTACCAGTCCTGTTTTGTCTACTGTCTTCTCTAGACAATGAGTTTCCTATTAGAAAGTTTATAGCTTTTATTGAATTAATAATGTCAAGTGCATGATTTAAAAGACTTTGTAAGATTAAAAAGCCTTTCTTCTTCAGTGAGTTTACTGTGAAAGAAATTCAAAGACAATCCACTTATAGGTTCTTGGCAGCTGAAAATCCTGTCACGTTACAGCTAGAGGGTGATTCAGTGCAGCTGATCCACAATTAACATGAATGCTGTGAAGGCTCATCTGCTCCATGATCTTAAAATTCTTGAAAATAAAGAGACAGGGAATGCTAAAAATTTTGCAGGCTAGGAATTACTTTCTCATTTGAGTTCTACTGTTTCCAGTTGGAAGCCCAGTAAAGCTTGGACTTCTATCATTCTCCTTTATCTGTTGTACATGTAAGCTAAGGATTCCCTTTCTATTAGGGTTCTGGACAGTATCCAAACCAGAGAAGTCCTTCTGCAAAAATGAAACTTCTAGACACAAATGTCATTTTATTCTGCATATTGCAGCCATAAGGCAGATGGTGCAAAGAGTGAGGTATCATCCACAGGTACGTAGGTACAAGCAGATAAACTATTTGCACAAAATGCTGACCACCATTTTTTCTGCTTTTAAATTCTAAAGCAATTACCAGCTTCTCAAAAGAATAAAAAGACTGCTTTTTAGCATTGAAGTAACTCCATTTGGCCCTTATTTTGTGAAGTTACGTGCAACGTAAGTAGTCACAGAAATTTCTCTTTCTCTAATCTATGGGAAGGTGAATCTACTAAGTCTGTCCTTTCAAACTCCTCAACCCAAGATCAGATGAAAATAGTGAAATAATGTCAAACTAGCTCTTTCTTTGCCTGATATGGGATACTGCATGTATTTAAACCAACTCCTTTATAGTCCAAGTAATGTATTTGCCACCCTCACAATAAAACAGTATAAGCAGAACAACTGCTTTCCTATGTTTTTCCAAATTAAAAACCATTAAGCTGCACATTTTAAAAAACATATCGATACATCAATTTTTCAGGTAGATCATCTTAAAATACAATGGGGAGGGGGTCAGAAATTTGATTGCTTGTGGAATTTATCTACCAATCTGTGGAGGAGGTTTGAAGGATGATCACTTGCCTCCCTCTTCCAAAAGGAAGGCAAGGAAGGAAGAAAAGCAAACTCTCAAGACTAAACACAAGGCAGCTACATTAGAAAACAAGACTACTGGAACATTAAAAATCCCACCGAAATTTTACGTTTGAAGCAGGAAATTCAAAAGACCTTGGAAGGGAGAAGGGGTACATTAGCCTGTAAGTAAAGTTTGCTTGTGGTTCCTTCCACGGCCCAAACACCTGCATGTTTCCAGCCATAACCATTCATATAGAAGTGTCCACAACTCAAATTAAACATTCATTTTCTCTATCTCTAAAGTGCTCTGGTAACTCAGGATTAAAATAACTCTCAGGTATATGGAACCTTTCACATAGGTACACTCTCAAAAATGTCAGAAGAATTGAGCACTGGGGGGAAGTATCAAGCTCTACAGCACTAGGAACTCTTTTTTTGGAGAGTTCCCAACTTCTGCCTCTCACCCAAATCTATGCTCGGCAGAAATCGCTACCCTGGATAAAAGCAAGATAGTGCCTATCAACGACCTGTAAAAGCTTGCCTATGACAAAAACAAATACTGCCCAGTCGTCATTAACACATATTTATGTGTTTAGTGTGATAAAGAAAAATGCTGTCCTTGCAAGGGTGACATATTTATGAACTCGACTGCACAGCATGAAAATATTGTGAACAGAAGAAAAAAGGAGAACTAATGCTCTGAAAAACTCCAGCACGTGCAAAGGCAGTTCTGCCATTTTTCAGATAAGATCAATTTTCTCTTTCCGAGTACAGAATTTGCATTTTTTGCACAGATTAGAAAAACACAAAACAAAAAGCTAGACAATCCTTGAAGGTAGCTCTAGGGCAGTGGTAACATTTATTCATCAAATGACAGTTGCTTCCAAGCTCAGAAAACAGAAAAAACCTTTACAGTCTTTTCCAGTTTGTGCAGCTTTTAGCACATTTCAGAGATAGACTGCCATAGAGGCAAAACCAGGAAGGCATCTGACATGCTCTGGACTGCAAGAAATTAAGTCTGCCAATTTGCATCATCTGTTTTTAAGGAAGGTCCATGAGTCCTTAAACAATGCTTTTTATTCCTTGGGAAAAAAATAAAAAATCCCATGCTGCCCAATTCAAACAGTTTTCCAAATAATTTGTTTCAATGACCTTCTTCAGGCAAACAAAGTATCACTATGAAGGCAAAATGAACCTCTTGGCAATTATTTTCAATTTTACTTCCAATATGCAAAGTTCTCTAAACACTTCTCCATGCTGTACTCTTAGGAACTCGGGGAAAGCCTGTCCTCTCTTCAATGAGTGTGTCTTCAGACTTTAAGATGCGTTTTAACCGCATTTTATAAACTGTAAGTCTAGTAGACCTTCTTCTCCCTAACATTGGAAAATACTGCAGAAGAAAGGCTAGGGCACTCTAGAATTCAAAACAATTCTAGTAGTCTTGAGAATTACTACAACTAAATATTTGTATTTACAACTTACATTAATATAAATCTGACACTCAATATAGCGCTGAAGTATGGAGAACTTTGAGTTTTTCAGTTACTCAAAAGGAGATGCTCTTTGCAAGACAAAAAAACCAACGGAGGAAGCCTCTGTCCTCCCTAAAACACACTGTAACACAGCCTTTGAAACAAACACTGTAATTGTCACAAATACAGCTTTTTTTTCTCTAAGAACTGATCTCTAATTACACCATTAACATAATCCTGATACCCTGCAGTTAAATAACTTGCTGATGCACTGATCTACGAAGGCTGCTTTTGTCATTAAATCTTTGGCTGATTAAGTGTGGTACTCACAGTGCCATGAAGAAACACGGCAGGAGAAAAACTTTGGTTTTAAAAATAATTTCTTTACATTCAGAGTATCTCTAGCATCTCTTGACACAGACTAACCATTCACTAAGGCTGCTCAACCCTATTACTTACATTCTGGATACTAAGTGAAAATGCAGTAAAATAATGGGTTTTGCCAGGCCTGCTTTAGCAAAATGAAGTTATTTGGAAGGACTTCCCTAGGCACAGATTCTCTTACCTTACAGCAAATACAAGGCAACTGACTACCAAGAGGCAGGCTACCTTATGCTGCCAATTACAACTGCCTTGCAGCAATCCCTACACATACCAAGCCTAAATACTCACACACACACCCCCACCATCCACCACTGAAAACTGAAGCTATAGATAGAGACAGCATGTTGATGTGTAAGCAACCCTAAAAGAAAAGGCAGTGTTTTGATGACTGCAATGTGCTGCTTAAAACTGAAACAATTTAGCCTTCTAAAATGCTAAGAGGGTTAAGGGAAATCCCTCAACACTTCTTAACAAATGGAGCTAAAGCAACACAGAAAATAACACTGAACTCTTGCACTCCTCAGACACCTTAGAAAGTCCATATTGATACACAACTGTTTGAGCAAAGAAAAGCCTTTAGCAACACCAAGTGTTCTGTCATTTCAGGTCATGCAACTTTTAGCTGTTAATCTGTATACTGAACACCTTGTTATTTATTTACTAATGACCCAGCTCAACTGGTATTTGTATTAAAAATGCAGTGCTAACCCACCTTTCAGAAACTTCTTGTTTTAGCTTTGGCACAACACCTGAAGACAGATTAGTGTCCAGGAGACCTAGGATGTCTCCTTCTGTATTAAAGGACTCTTTGTGCAGTTCAGTGTCTGATGGGTTGTGACCAATGAATGAAGAACCTAAACTTTTCTGATGCACATCTAATGCATCAACGTCAGCAGAGCGCCTACAAATGCTAGCAGCACTAAAAACACCACCTCCTTCCAATTCTAAGTTACTGTTCTGTTTCACCTCACGCTGAGGTCGACTATTCAACCCATCTTCTCTGAATCCTTTAGCAAAAGGATTGTAATCTATTTTCAGCTGGGTAATCCGGATGTTCTGGTAGGCTGTAACTGCGAAGAACTCTGTCTGTGGAAAGGTAAATGTATGGACATCAGGGCCATTAAGCTGAATGACTTCTGTGGCTTTGTTTGCAGGCACCAAGTGAAGCCGTGGCAAGTAACGGTGCATAGAATGCAGGATTATATGACCCTCCTGGTCCAGGGTATTGTTGGTAAGTTTGAGCTTGTAGAAGGATACAGGCTGGTGCATCCAGAACTGGCCAGTGGAAGGGGATTCTGGATGAATAAACACTCGCCCAAGAACATGTGGCTCTGCCTTCCCACTGGGTTCCCACCAGCGGCCATTCCACTTGTATCGGTGATTGTCCACAGGGGATATGTCCATGACTAGGATGTACTTCTGACTGGAATTCAGACCTGTAATCCAGTACCGGCAGTATGGGAACATGCGCCGCCCCTGCTTCGTCAGAATCATCTCTGTGTTGCGATGGTAGAACTCATTCCACATGTTGTTGTTATCCAGGGTGACAGTAATGCCCCCCGAGACGCAGTCAGCTGGGAGGCAGGTCTTGACTCTGGGTTTTATCGGAGCTGATACACTGCTGGCAAGAGCACAGGCATCACGGTTTGCTACTAGGATTCCTTGGTCAGCTTTGCCATTTCCCTGCTGTTGTTTCAAGATGACAAAAAAAGCAGGCGTTGCACTAGACACAGTCCCACCATCCTGGCTGCCCAAGACAACCTGTTGCTTCTTCATGATGAGTGTTCTCACAGGCTCTCAAGTCAAATGCAAATTCTACACGGTTCTGATGATTTTCTATGCGCGTACACCATTCTGGAAAAAAAAGGAAAATACAGTTAAAATTATTCCAATACAATCTAAGAAAGTAATTAAGTCTCAGGAGGCATCCTTTTTGCAATAGGTCTTCACAGTGAAAACTTAAAAGATAACCAGTACTATAAAGCTAAGCACAATTAGGATATAAAAAATTAAGGCTGCCTGTGTGTATACAATTTTGACCTCACAGACGTGGGGGCCATGACACCCTTAACTGCATTTCCATATATGCTTTGCCACAACATAACTCCTTGCTTTGCTTGATATTTCAAAGTGCTCTTTGTTCTGACATTGCCCTCAACTCTTGAGATCATTTGCTCAACAGCATCAGGTAAAACGTGCAGAAGTCAGAAGAGCAAATGGCACATTTCTGAAACAAAGGCAAAAGCCATTTACTCCTGCCAGAAAGAAAGAGTTCCTCAAGGTCCAAAACTTCTCAAAAATTAAAAGGAGGAAAAAAACCCCCATTTAAAATATTTTCCCTAAATTTCTTTATTGAAAATTACTTTTGTCATTTGTGTAGTTGGAATTCTTTGCTCCAGTTGGAATAGTTTGCTCCAATCCTATGAATTTCTGTCTGTTCAAGGAAGAGACAAATAGAAGGGAAAAAGTAGTTCAAATGGATAAGCTTTGAGGAAAGATAGACAAACAAACCCCCAAAAGGCCATGCAGCTAAGATTAAATGGATGAATGTGAAGCTTCAGGTAACATTTACCTTCTAAATTATGGACACAATTTAAATCAAACAAGCAAACATTTGTAGTGTTATGATTAGCATAATCCCTGTTCAAGGACCTAAAAATGTTACCTTTATCTGCATATACACAATCCCACTTCTGTGTGTCTACTTCACAGAGTAAAGATTATGTCAACACTCTAACAGGAGATCATAAACTACTTCATTTTCCAAAGAGCCTGTGCACTTCTCTAGGTGAAAATATCTAGTAAGCACTTCTGGTAACTCACAAGAATGCTACTCCCACATCCAAATGTTTGTATTTTGATCCTTATTATATGTGGAATACAACACTGAACAAAAATGATTGATTCTTGTATCGAATGTCTAGTTGGTGAGAACAAGAAATAGGAGTGAGTCACCATCACTAGAAGTTGAGATACATCCCAGAGCCCTGAAGGAACTGGCTGATGTTCCACTCTCTAAATCTGAAAAGTCACAATAGTCAGGTGAAGTCCCAGGTGGCTAGAAAAGGGGAAACATTGTACCCATCATTAAAATGGATAAAAAGGAGGACCCTGGGAACCAGTGACCTGTCAGCCTCACCTCTGTGCCTGGGAAGAGATCCTGGAACAGATCCTCCTAGAGGCGATGCTAAGGCAGGTGGAAGAGAAAGGTGATTCAAGACAGTGAGCATGGCTTCACCAATGACAAATTCAGCCTGACCAACCCAGTGGCCTTCTACAATGGAACAACTACATTGGTGGACAAGGGAGAAGTTATGGATGTTGTTTATCTGGAATTCTGTAAAGCCTTTGACACAGTACCCCACAACTCCCTTCTGGCTAAGCTGGAAGGAGATAGATTTGATGGGTGGACTGTTTGGTGGATGAGGAAAGGGCTGGATGGTCACATCCAGAGGGTAGTGGTCAACGGCTCAGAGTTCCAACAGACATCAGTGACAAGTGGTGTCCCTCAGGGGTCCATACTGGAAAGATGAGTGGTGAAGCTAGGATGCCTGAAGGATGGGAGGACAGCCAAAAGGGATCTGGACAAGCTCGAGAAAAGGTTTAACAAGGCCAAGTGCAAGGTGCTGCACCTGGACTGGGGCAACCCCTGGTATCACTCCCAGCTGAGGGATGAACAGCTGTAGATCAGCCCTGCTGAGGAGGACTTGGGGGTGCTGGGAGTTGAGAGCTGGACATGAGCTGACAATGTGCACTTGCAGCCCAGAAAGCCAACTGTGTCCTGGGCTACATCTAAAGCAGTGTGGGCAGCAGGTCGAGAGGATTCTGCCCCTCTGCTCTGCTCTGGAGAGATCCAACCTGGAGTGCTGCATCCAGCTCTGGGATACTCAGCATAGGAAGGATATCAGCCTGTTGAAGCAAGTCCAGAGGAGGCCACCAAGATAATCAGAGGAATGGAGCAACTCTTCCATGAAGAAAGACTGAGAGTTGGGGCTGTTCAGCCTGGAGGAAACTCTGAGGAGACCTTATTGCAGCCTTTCAGTACCTAAAACAGACCTAGAAGAAATCTGGAGCGGAACTGCTCACAAAGGCATGTAGTGATAGGACAAGGGGGAATGGCTTCAAAATGAAAGGCAGTGGGTTAGGACTGGATATTAAGAAATTCTTTACTGAGAGATTGGTGAGGCAGTGGCACATGTTGATCAGGGAAGCTGTGGATGCCCCATCCCTGGAAGTGTTCAAGGCCAGGCTGGACGGGGCTCTGAGCAACCTGGTCTAGTGGAAAGTGCCCCTGCTTGATGGCAGGGGGGTAGGATCTAGGTGACCCTTAAGGTCCCTTCCAACCCAAACCATTCTATGATTCTATGAGTTAGGTCTTGAAAACAATCGTATTTCTTTCAGAGAATGAACTCAAATTCACAAGTTTTAAGTGAACTGGGTATTTAATAAGACACATTTATTGAGTTAGGACTGGGGTGCTGCAGGAGGAAACACTCCTCTGTGCAAACCAGCTGCCACATGCATGTGGAAAATGCTCAGGAGGCAATTTATACTCCATGACAAATAATCTGCACACCCAGGAAAAACAAGAGGTCTATTTCCATCCTTGACACATACTTTAAAACTCAATGTAAAAGTCAAATTGGAGGAAATAAACCGAAACTGTTCTGCACAGATTTCGAGACCTGTGAAGTCACAAGATCTGGTTTCCAGTATTACTTTGCAGAGGAAATTCTTCCCCACAAACATATCTATAACCACCCACCCAGTGAGGACTCCTTAACACAGTCTAGGATACAAAATTAATTAGATGTTCAAAATCAGCTCCATATTTTCTATTTTAGGAATGTTGTCCTGCTTTTTCAGTAGATCACACCTTGAGTCCCAGCAACACAAAATGCTATCTCCAAAACAAGATTTCCCATGTTCACCTATAAAAACACAATAGAAATACATCTCAGATGTACGGAGTGGAGAAAGAAATCACAGTTTAAACTGCATGTAATTTTGCACTAACTTACCCTTTCTATATACACATACAGCACATTTGTATGTACAGTGCACATGCAATCACAAACTGAGTTCATGCTAATGCTGTGCAATATGCACCAAAATTGTACTGGCTCATGACAGAAACACACTATCAAAGTGCTTCCAAAACTGGTTGAAGAGATGCATAATTCCTGTAATTTGAAATACGCTTGAGGTAGAACTTACACATACCAGGAAAAAATTCCCAAAAGCTCAACAATGATGCATTCAGCAAAAATTCTGTGCATGTAAAGACCCACTGCATCACAGGTTCTGCTGGCCAACATTCAAGGTTCTTGCATTGCACTGCTGTAGTTACTTCGGCCACAAGCACCACTCAAGAGTACCAAATGGAAGATGTGCGTGGTTACAATGTGATCTCCTGCAACAACAGTAGCCAAAGTCTACCTTATCTCAACACTAACACTGTCTGCTACATGAGGAGTTTAACACGTGTTGTTGTACTTGCTCATACACACCAGAAAGTTTCATTGTAGCACGTAGCCTCTAATACAGTATTTCAAGGAAAACGTGTGCATTTGCCAGAGTTGAACTTCTGAACAGCCTCAGGTATTTCCCTTCTCTGTCTGCACGCAGACCTTGCGTCCGAAAAGCAACATTTAGCAGATCTAACTAGACAGCAGTGGCCAGAAACGCTCAAAGTCGCACCGAGCCCTGACAGAAGCAGGTGAAAATGTTCGCCTGTGCCAAAGGGCAATCGCGTCTCGCTGCCCCGCGGCCGTGCGCGGCGCCCCGGGCGGACAGGCCG